TTGTATTCACTTCTTTGTGTACGAAGGGCTAGCCCCATTTACATCTGGCTGAATGACAAGGGGACTTTTATGACAGCGTTTTTTTTTGGTTCCAACAATAAAGAAACTAGGAAGTGCTGACTACTCTATAGCGATCCTTCTACACAACTCCCTTTTTAAGTGGTTCGTACTACTTTCAGGATGGTTTCGGTTGGACAAATGGGGTGATACTCGATCTTCTGGTAACGTACAATGATCGGCTACGAGTCTAAACGATCTCGAGGATGATTCAGTTCAGGACGTCCCGGGACGTCCGGATTCTCTACATTCCCCATCACGAAAACGGGCCCTTACAGAATAATTCTTTGCAGAGTTTTCTCTAGATCTGATTGAGTATGTTCGCATCGTTACTGAATAAATTGCTTAGGACTTTTTTTATCGTGTGGATCAATACGTATGTAATGAATGGTGTCCAGCACACCCATTAGGGAAGATTAGGAGCGGAATAAACTTTGTATAAAAGAGATTTTATTCATAGTCTTAGACAGCCCCCTTCAAAAGGCTTACCTCAACTGCATGGTCAATCATGGTCCCATTCTAACAACTCCCCAACCCATTGCGTCATAGTCTGCAGCTGGCGATACATGAGCAGGTGAACTAACCAAGGCATCTTTGAAATTCCGTAACTCTACGGCATTTTGGACAAAGAGAGAGCATCTTTCATTGGCCTCAGTGGTCTTGAAAGGGAAGTAGTGAAGGGCCTTCAAAGTTCAAAAGAAACGTGACGGTGTGAAATTTAACCCCCGACAGGCAAATAATCGTTGCGCTTGATCACCCTGAGTACGATGTGAGGGTATTCGACGGAAATATGGTGAAAGCAGAGCAGAATTTCTTCAATTTACAGGAAAATGACATTCTGGATTAGAAACGTTGGCTGTCTTGTGGCTACACAAGATCCAACAGAGGGCATGGATCGATCTAGGTCGGAGTATTGGGTATGAAAGATTCCCCGAGTATGAAATCGCCCTAAGCCCAAAGCTGCAGAGGTTAGAAGAAATGGGGACAGCCTGAAGTAATTAAACGCTTACCTTAGAATCGCTTCCCGTATATGAAGACATTTCTGACCAAGAATTTCCTGAATTTTCGTTATATGTGAGATTGGCCTTAATGTTTCTGCCTTATAATCGGTCTGACTACATGCATTTTGGATCCATTTCACTGAAAACAGGAACTTCCTCAGTCTCAGGACGTTTGCAAGAACCAATTTGGTGAGCATCCCATTAGGCTTGAACCCTCTTGGTCAATTCAAAGGCCTTTACTGAGGAGAATTTTGAGGATAGGGAAGGGAGCACATTTTCCCGTTGATTTCATTCGATACCGGCAGATAGCTTATATCGAACAGATCATTCTATGACCTCTACCGATAGCTCTCTGACCCTTTCCCTAATAGCAGTAATAGTACTAGTTGTGCCGTAGTTTGACTTAATAGCCATGAAACGACTACACACTTACTCTGCCGCGTCTCGCGCTCCCCAAGTTGGTCTCTGTATCGATGAAGGTGTTTCACTCGGCAGGTGGTCTAGGTAGTGAATAGACGCTAAGTGTGCAGTCTCAATAACCCCCGCTGGCGTTTAGCATGTTTCGGATGCAATTACACTCATACATACTGTAACCTAGGACGTACACACAATAGATGTCGACCAAGTGCAGCTAATCGAGGAAACCGCACGTAATTGGAGACTACCTTAACACCAGCCTCTTTGCCCACTCATACTCACTTGAAGTCCCCTATTCTCTTGACAAAGCAGGTTTGGGGGGATTCTGTTCGTCGGACCGCAGCAAGACGCGGGAGTTGATTGCAACTGAGTGGCCGCTATCAGTCTAGCACTTTCCCTCTTGGGGAAGCACTTCTCTTCGGAGGCAAGTAATCCTGTGTGTGTGTGTAGATGTCGACTCCCTCTCTCATTAGTCCGTTGAATGCTCACAAACAAAGAAGTGTCGGCGAAGCAGATCGAAACACGAGCAAATGCGCGCTTGTGTTGCGACCGACTCTTTTCGGGCCCTATCAAAACACTAACCGCAGTGTTTCCATTACGCCCGCACTCAACTACGGTACTTCCCTCTGTGCACTTTCTTACTTGGTAACAACAACTTCCCCCCTTCATCAGAGACATCTCGCTCACTGTCAGCCTTCCTGTTGGGTGTGTGTCTGTGTGTTCAGGTGAAAAAAATACCTGTGCTGGTTGTAATAGAGAGCGCGGTTGTTTGGGAATCGCATCGGTGATGAGTAGTCGTCTCTCTCGTTCGCTCAAGCTCTCCTTCTCATCATCACTCAAGGGCCCCGCACTGCAGTGTGTATGGGTGCGTTTGAGTCGCATAAGCTGCGTATCATTGGCGACCGACTGGCACGCTAACAGGATTACTGTATGGTCAAGGTTCGGAAGAATGATGAGCGCAGCGCAGTCACAGTCCTTGACAGTGGCTTAGACATCATTGATGCCTATCATCACCAGAGATTGCACCTACGACCCGTCTCCTATCATCGCCGTAGGATCCAATCTGGGGCGATCGCGTACGTGAGTAAATCTGGCCCAAAACGCCATCACCCACTCACTGTGAACTGCGCGATATTTTCGTACAATGGGCGGAGTCCGGGGCGGTGTACTGTAATGTGATACGGGTCCAAACACAAGACGTCATACCGTAATCGCGGCAGCAGCAGCAGCAGCAGAGCAGTAATAGCTTATCCAGCAGAAAATGGAGCATCAGGATTAGATGAAATGCGAGGTCGATGCATGACGATGGCCACAGTGGTGGCAGATCCGATAAACAAACATTAAGCATCTTGTAAGTAGATATTGTATCTACCGTAAGACGGGGAATGGATCGCTGTGGGATCCTCTAATGATGAAAATTGAAGAGCGGCTGTGTGTTTTGATGCGCATGCTAGTCATTGGCAGCTGCATTTAGTCCAATTACACACTGAGTTGCCTTTCTGTGCTCGTTCGACCTCGATAGTTGGCTCTTTGAAAAGACACCATTATCGAATGTAGATGGAGTGGAATAGAGCTGCTCGGAACGCTCTTAGCTTTCTCTATGTTTGTCATCAATCCTCTCGGAATCTACTACTGTGGTGCTGTGTCGTATCAGTTGTATCCCTAGACTGGAATCTCCGTTGCTGATTCCCCTGATGATCTGATCTCAGTTTTGCATCATCTCCCAGTCGGCCTAATCCATCGATCCATACGATTCGTAATCGCTCCTCTTCAGTGACTTCATCGTGAAATCGCACCTTGGGTCAACACCTATTTAACGCGCCGTTTATTGGGAGATGTCCTGAATGATGAATTTGATTCCCATGACGAATAGATGTCATTAATGATGTCGGTAATACTTGGGTATTTAACGCTGGTCATCTCGGTGGCCGCGCATCTGTGGGGTGGATTCGCTGACGCCGGTTACGCAACCCGCTTGACACTATCCTAATTGCCCCATCGTCTAATCGTTGTACGGATTACATCGAGTGCCAGTAGTGCAAACATTGTCAGAATAACCGGCGACTGCTGCCGCGATTGGCCTAATGCTAACAAACGATTACATGCTTTTTAAGCAAAACCCTTACCCACCATCAAACTGGTAATGCTCCCTTTGAAGACAGCGTATTCCGTCGGATCTACTACTAGGATCCCAAGAATGCACTAAGCGGGCGTCCTTATTGGACAATAGAAGGGCACAATGAGAAGCTAGTGATATGAAAGAGAGAAAGATGGTAGAGAGAAGGAGAACAGCCGAAGAGAAGTAGATGGTTAGGGGAGCGCCGTCACATTACAGGCCATTAGCACGACACGAGAAGACAAATTCTCCTTGATGGCAATTTGCGCTCCGTGGGGAAATCGGGCGATTGTGTATGGGTTGATAACGGATTGTAACCGGAGGATGTGAACCCGGGAGATAACAGCACACCAGCTCCCGGAAACCCTGATGTAACATAATGACGAGTCCAGAGGTACCGGCCTTCGACTCCTCGTGTATTATTCCATGGGCAAGGAGGGGTGCGAACATGAAGCACTGTAGCCTCTTAGGGGTATTTGCTCTCCCCATCCCTTATCTGATCTTACCGCGTGTGGTGTTAAGCCCTCAACGTTGAAGGCATCGTTAGCACGATGATTTCTGGTCCTTTTCATTAGGAAGCACAGTTACGGTATTAAAAGATCCTTCGTAGAGCGACGGCCATGGCGCGCCGATACCCCACCACTCTCTCTTAACTTGTTGATGCGACTGTAGAGAATAGATGGCGAAAAGTGAAAAACACTCTCGACTACTTATGTCCAATGAATGATCGCAACTGGACAGGTTTTCCATGGCGTTTGCCTTTCGTCGACCAATTCGAGGCATGTTTCATTGCACAGCAAACGTCCAATAACTCTTGTGAACAGCATAGGAGGGTTTGCTTTGACGAAGGAATTGAGTGCGATAGGGGATGGGGTGGTGTTGCAGCCGTGCTGCGTCACACGTGGAGTGGGAGAGTCGCCCAAAACAAAGTGGAAGAAAAAGGCCAACAGCTCCGCCAACTTGCGATTTGCACTTTTCTGTGTGTCAGTGTGAAATCTCTGCTTCAAAATGTTCACTCAAAAGGTGCTTTCATGAGCGACGGTCGACGTTTAACCGCTTTCCTCCGGAAGTTTCAACGATAATTTCCCAAGAACTACATAAGTATAAGTGGATATATGTGTGGTGTCGACGACGGACACCGGAAATCTACTTCGGATTTCCGGCTCATGCTCCTCGCTCATCGTCACTCGTCCAACACCAGCATCTACCTATGTAGCCCATGCTCCCAGGCGCATCCATGAACTATCATCCTCCCGCTCACTCCCCCCATCGTGCGGCTCGCTCTCCCCGCTATTCTCATGACAGCGGTGGGTGTGGTCGATGTCCGGGCGACCAATCACGCACCCCCGTGCCGCCCATATCATTAAGCAAGCTGGCGGATCATTGTTGGTACGGTTGTTCATGTGGAGATGTTCACACCGGAGCAACTACAGAAAGTATGGATGCAGTTGGCTTTGCAAGGTATGGGCGCCAATCTTGGTGCTTTACAAGCTTTGCAAGCTGCCAACATGTCTGCTGCTGCCGCTTCACCCGCAGTACCACCACCTGGCCTATTCCCACCAATTCCTACCGCCACAATTCCGGTTGTTAATCCTGGATCGCCTACTACATCCAATTTGACAGCTGAACAAGTGAGTGGTATTTTTGAACTTTCTTCGTTTTCCCGTTTTGCTTCCTATTTCTCCGCCCTAATGGGCTTTACTACGGATCGTCGTAGTTGATCGTATTGCCTGTCTAGTTGTTCATCATTCAATCATTCATCCATTCACACAATCCACCAAACGGATGCCCATATCAGGCATCTGATTCACTTCCGCTCGGATCGTGCTTTTAGTAATCGAATGGCGTTTCTTTCTGATTCAACTTGCGCAACCTTTTACGGCCATAACCATCATCTTCGTAACACAATTCAACTCTTCCCATACCACTCAATACATCATGCAGTAACAAAATGCCAACTCCCACTTCCTGTCGCCCATACTGAAATTATGCCTACTATTAGACTTTTCCGGTTTAATCTGAAACCCTTCATTAGCATTTCTTTCTTCAAAACGATTTCCCTGTGGAACAAATCGAACTATCCAGGTGCTTGAGCTCCATTTCCACTTCTCAATTACATTCTTTGTTGAGCCAGTGAATTGAAGGCAGCGGGAGATGTTGCCCTCAGAAAGTTTGAAAAAGTTTTTGGGAACTTTTGCTGTTCGACAAGAGGGCAGATGGCTTTCATATTCAAGCCGAGGAGCGCAACAAGCTTTTCTCCAACCCGACGATTTAAATGAAATTTACACGGGAGCTCTTTGTGAGACGAAGACGTCGTTAAGGCATGAGATGCTCGTGTTCAGTGATAGCGGAAATCGCCAGACACACGCACCGCCGCCGCCTCTTTGCTGCCGTTTCCTTTCGAATTTGAAGGGCTTCTTTTCTCCCTAATCTCATAAAATTCCGTCGTTTCCAGAAGAACTTTCGCTTTGATGTTCATTGTTGCCGAAGTTGCCGACTTTTCGTTTTCCGACTACTTCAGCTCAATTCGTTGCCGTTAGATAGGCTAGATCTGGATAGCTACTAACGCCTAACTGGTTGCATAACAACACTAATAATCGCAGCATGAGAGATGTTGTGATAGCTTGCCTTCGAGGCTAATGCGACCGAAAGTTAGCCTCATAGTCGTTGAGCTAAGCCTCCGCTTTTGCAGATTATTCAAACATGCGATCAGCTGGAAAAAGCCGATGATGTCGATCGTTTGGCTCGATTTCTTTACAGCCTCCCACCGACCCTTGCTCAAGAGGTAAGGCCCCGTCCTTCATGTTGATTGACCAAGCCGTATTCTGCTTAACGATCGGTTTTTCAGGTGGTGTCGAACGAGGTGGTGCTCAAAGCCCGGGCGCTAGTCTGCTTTCACATGGGTGATTTTCGACAGCTTTACAGTATTCTCGAGAACCATAAATTTACCCAAGGAAGTCATCAAAAGATGCAGTACATGTGGCAAGAAGCCCACTATCGCGAAGCCGAGAAACAGCGTGGAAGGTAGATTTTAAAATCTAATATTTGCTTTTCAAATTCGGCCCAACCAAACCAGGTGGTTGCCCAGTAGATGTCTCTATGAGCTATATCGAAGGTGATAGACGGGAATGTTTCTTCCTGGAGACATGTCTCTTGGTTAATATGCAGTAATTACCGGGTACAAGAGGGGGATAGCACGCCGTCTGCTAGCCGGCGTTGTGGTTACCTTGTAATTAGTAGATTCTACTAATTTGCGTTAAGGCTGCAAGTCAAGAAACATATGGCAATCGGCGCCCCGTTACAAATCTATACATGGGTCGAAAAGCTCCTTTTTCCGCTAAGTGGGTTGTAGATTCAGACCGCTTGGACCCGTGGATAAGTATCGTGTTCGTAAGAAGTATCCGATGCCAAGAACGATCTGGGATGGAGAACAGAAGACGCACTGCTTTAAGGTTCGTGATCAGGGATCAATTTTGATTTGATTTCACCTTTTTGGATGATTCTCGAAGTGTATTCTGCCTACTTCAGGAACGAACTCGTTCATTGCTCCGGGAATGGTACTTGAAGGATCCGTATCCAAATCCGAGCAAGAAAAAAGAGTTAGCAAATGCGACCGGTCTGACGGCAATGCAAGTCGGCAATTGGTTCAAAAATCGACGACAGAGAGATCGAGCAGCAGCGGCGAAAAACAAGTGAGTGTGTCGTGGAGACATCAAAACGATTTCCATTAGTGGCGGTTTGTGTAGTAACAGAGAATGAGGGTTCTACCTGGGCCAAAAACATCGACACAACTGCCATGGGAAACCTCTCATCAGCTAGTTTGTTCCCCTCTTACACTCTACAATAATCTACGTTTGTTCCTTTGTCTGTCTTTAAATGATCATCTCTGATGGGTAGAAACGAGTGGTGTCCTTGACTTTGTAGCATTAGCGTTGCGTTGGTTGGTGGTATCTCGAGATGGTCTTCTTTCACGACGACACCACCCTATTATTTCCGACTTAGCGCTGGTTTTGGCCAGTTCTGATGCAATGATACTCGCCAATTCGCTCCTCTTTGCCACCATTCGATTTCGTTCTGAGATCGATCGACCATTTTGGATTCTGTGATGGGGTGAAGGAAAAGGGAGGGAGAGGACGTATGGGGCATGATGGGGGGAAAATCGAGAACTGTCCATGTCATAGACAAAACACAGCCCGTGCAAGCGAATAGTGAAGCCTATCGAAGCTATGAATCGCAAAATTTGTTATTGAAACACGCAAGCCGACGAAATAGTGTTGATGTACGACGGCCACAACACCGTTAACACCCACTGGTATTGGCCCCAGGACTACTGGGAACATTCAGGGACCCTGCAAAGGCTTCCTGATTTTTTGACTTTTTTCCATGAATCAAGGAGGAGTTTTTGAAAAACTACTTCCTCGAGAAGAATTATGAGCTGGCTACTGTTGGACAAGGCGTGGACTACCGTCAGGGTTGCTTATACTGGGAAGCTAGCCTAGCAAAACCTGGAGGCAGCCTGGCTTTGAATCCTACCAGTGCAAGAATGACCTTTGGCCTATTACCCCTACAACCTCCACAATTGCTGAGAAAGGAACTGGTAACCATATATGGGTAATGGGAGCTCGGCCTAAAACTTAACAAAAGATGTTTCAAAACTGCAGCATGGGAATGAGTCTCCTCGAATATCGGCCCGAGGAGGAAGCGACCCCAAGGGGCGACTGATGCTTTGTTTTTTTTTTCTGAGCAAGTAATTTACAACACATTCAACAGGTTTTTTTTGCAAAAATCATCAACAACTCTCTTCTTTCAGACAAAACGTCATTGGCGTCGAGCTGAAGAAAACGTGTGGTTCAGATGGCTCGGACAGTGAAGATGAGAACGACTTCGAAGACAGTATGACCGATTCACCATCACCGATTGACGAGCCGAAAGATCTCTCGTTACGACCGTCGTTTGGAGCCGATCGTCTACTAGAACCACCATCATTTACAATGAACCCCTTATTCCTATTCAATCCAGCATTTCTTCAGATGCAACAACAACTGGCCTCTCAGTTCTCCTTACCTCTCCCTGCAAGTAGCTCACCGCTTCAGCCTCCTAAGCGTAATAAGCTGTCTATCGATGAGATTCTTGATTTAAAACCTGAACCTAAACCTTGCACATCACCCCATTCACTATCCACTTCATCTTGTAGTTCAAATAAGGAATTGTCTTCGTCTCCAGAAGCGAAACGTGAGCCGGTCCCTGTCGCTGCTGTCCCCGCCGCTAATGCTACACATTCAGAAGCCGAGCAATTAGTTGTATAGTCAAAAGTCTCGGATTGTTTCCATCGTTATGACCTCGTTATGGTCATGGTCCGTAGTAAATTATGTGTTTGTTGTTGTGATTCAACCAGGTTAACAATAGGTCAAACCAAATTCTCCGAGAACACGATGCGTCCGCGATCATCACTATGCCGCCACTGATTCTGGTTAAAAGGACCCCCCAATCGCTCAGTGCGGGCATGTCGTGTTCTTTTGTGCACGATTGTGATCCATGTACAGATTGTATGACGGGAGAAGGGGTTATCCCCCACCTCTTCGTCAACTCTATTCAACATTGTATGCCAAACGATTTGTTTTGTTGAAAATAAATTGTCATTGATTTGTTGAAGGGTCGGCAAATGTGGGAAGGTTCGCCTCCTGAGTTACTTTCCTGTTCAGAAAACTCCTTTTTTATTTTTCCTCCCCGGGAGTAAGTTTTGCACAGGTAACTAAGATTTTTTGGAATCTGAAATTTACAAATAAACTTCAACATTCACTACGAGCATCATTAGAATTCAAAAGAAATTACTGGATAAGCAAATTTAGTTTACCAACACCCTGCCAGTCATGGGAGGATGGNAGAAAGGAACTGGTAACCATATATGGGTAATGGGAGCTCGACCTAAAACTTAACAAAAGATTTTTCAAAACTGCAGCATGGGGATGAGTCTCCTCGAATATCGGCCCGAGGAGGAAGCGAC